AGGACCCTGGGATCATGACCTGAGCCGAAGGCAGACGCTTAACGACTGAGCCACCCAGGCGCCCCAATACATAAAATCTTAAAAAAAAACAAGAAACCAGATAAAAATGAGTACATACCGTATGATCCCATTTATATAAGTTCCAGAAAATGTAGTAATAACAACAGAAAGTAGGTCTGTGGTTGCCTGTGTGTGTGCAAGACAACTTTTAGGGGCAGTGATATGTTCATGATCTCAGTTGTGATGGTTTCATGGGAGAATACCTGTGTCAACTCTCATCACACCCTATGTTTTAAATACATGCCGTTTATTGTAGGTCAATTATATCTCAAAGCTGCAAAGAACAAAAACAAATTCTATGGAGAACTGAACACACAAGACGTGGCTTGGAGAAATGCTCTTTTAAATTGGCTTTTGGGATTGTCCATGGAAATCAAACCAATGGTGAAGGAATGGGCTGATTGATCTTGTCTTGGCTGACTCAAAATGGTGCGGCCCAAAGAGAGAGGGTAGGGATGCAGTACTTGGCAATTTGGTGACAGACCTTTTACCTCCTTGAGGCTCAATGTCCTCATCTATAAAATGGGAATGTCTTCGGTTGCCCCACATTCTCCACGAAACCGATTTGAGGAAAAGTAAGTGACCTTGCTTTCAAGTAGTGAATGACCAAACTTCCTCATCCATATACCATGCCCCTGCCAAGCAGTTGGTAGCAATCCCAGTCCTGGGTGCCCTTGGCCCATCCTGGGGGAAGTGCTGGGAGCTTACAGCCCCGACCTCTGGAATCGGCACAGACCATTTCCATTTCAGTCTCTCAGGCCGACTGCTCCTCCGTGACTTTGTTCCCAGACCTTGTTCGGCTGGCCCCTTAGGCTTCATTTCATGTCCCTGCTTCCCAGCTGCTTTTGATGGCCCAACTGGCTTCTGCATGTTCTCCAGCTCCCCATGTATCTACTGCCATTGAGGGACAATAGGCTGGAACTGCCCACCCACCTAAGATCTAGGAGAGAGGGGGGTCCCATTGTTCAAGGCCTCCCCAGGCCCCAGGGAGACAGACCTGCCATCAAGGGAACTCACAGTCTGGTGGGAGAAACAGACTCACAGGCCTACTGTACCAGCACCTGTCCTGTGTGGTGCTTTATGGTAGAGGTGTCCTGTGTCGCCCCAGGGACAGTGGGGTGGGGGGGTGCAGGGTAGCAATGGGGGGTGGGTCTCAGATGAGGAAATGGCTCCGCTGGACCCAGAAGGATGGATGAGTACTTTTCAGATGGAAGTCTCAAGACAGCATTTCAGACACAGGACGTCCTCGAGAGCCAGCAGGAGGTGAGGTTAAAGGGTGAACCAGGGCCGGATCAGGGAAGGAAGGCTTGCCATGTGTGCCAAGAGGTTTGGGTCCAAATCTGTGGGAACTGGGCAGGTGCTGAAGGACTGTAAGCCTGAGAGTGACAGTCACAACTTGCTCCCGTGGGGCAGAGGCTTCCTTTGGAGGCCCTGCTCAAATCCTCCCTGGGAGGGGTGGTTTCTCTCTATGGCAGGGTTTTTATCTGAGGCACTCTTGACAGGTGGGGTTGGAAAAGGCTTTGATCTCGGTGCCTGCTCGTAGGATGTTCAGAGACAGCCTCTCTGGCCCCGGGGTGGCAAATTGCTCTCTATTGAGAACCACCGCTCTACAGTTGTTTTCTTATTTGTTTGTTTCTTTTCGAGTCTGTATACACATGGCCCTGCCGGTATTTGCCTTCTTCCCTCCTTCTGAGGCCTGGCTCCTAACACCTGGCTTCTAGCCTCTCCACGAGGTGCGCAGCTGAATGGTGCTCTTGGCTGCTTGCGCGGCCTTGTTCCGGCACCTTGTTTCGGGTGGCCCAAGCTCCCCGTTCACGGGGGCTCTGGCTGGGGCTGGCTGCAGGAGCCAGCTGTCAACAGCTCTGTCCACTGCTGCATCCAGCAGGACGCCTACTTCTCGGTGGGGCACGCCACGTGGTGTCGGGGAGACTCCCGGAGGGGGTCCCACCTTAAGGTCAGCAAGGACCGGAGCCGTCCAAGCCTGTCGGCCCTGAAACCTCCGTGCCTGGGCCCCGCTGTCTGCCAAGCTTCCAGCCTGGAGGGACGAGGGAAGCCTGCCAGGGAGAGGGCACCAGGCTGGGGACAGAGGGCGGGTGGTGGCAGCTGGAGGCCATGTGACCGCTGGAGGCTATGCGTGTCACAGGGCAGAGCTGGGCCACTGGCTCATTCTTGGGCTCAATCTGAGAAGGGTTCACATGACTTCTCGGTGGGAGCCTGCGTGTCGGGGCAGGAGAGGAGGTGGGAGGGAGGGGGAAGTGATTTTAGGATCCACGCTGGAAATACAAAATACATTTGTGAATCACAAGCAGACAGTCATCATATGACCCCCCGGCTTTGCCAATGCAGAAATCAGGTTAAGGCCACAAAAAATGCGTCCCTTGGCCTGCACAGAGCAGGGAGCCGAGAGGGGCACTAGGATTAGAGTAGGAGGTGAGGGAGCCAGCCATGCCACCCGCAATGGCAGCAAAAGCACCACACAAACCAGCCCCCAATTCTGGATCTTTCCATGTGCTTGCTCCTATGTTAATCTCACTACAGCCCCCCACTTCCCAGTGAGAAAAGCAAGACCAGAGGATTCCTCTACACTCCCTCTTCTCCCTTCCTTAGGGTTTCAAGGGCTGGCTTACTCTGGTTTTCATTTTGTTTTTGTCCCCCCCCCGCCGTCAGCTCCCCTACCTCACACAGCCCCAAAAGGTACACTGCTGGTAGGTCCTTCTTGTTGACAGGACAAGGCGAAGGCTCCTAAAGTCACCGTGCCTCCGAGGAAGAGGCCTTGGTGCTGCTGGGGTACAGGATCCCCTGGCAGCCGGAGACCAGAGTCAGGCAAGTTCTAGAAACAGGGCGAGAATGCCCTGGAGGCTTCTCCCCGCCCCCACACCCCTGCCCCCCCACCCCAGGAATGAGAGGAAAGCCCCAGGGTTCCTCTGGTAGCCCCACCTCCCGGCCCTCAGTGCGCCAGGAGCTTTATTTAGTGGCATTGAAACCCCACGGCCTGGATCAGGACTCCTAAGCCCATGTCCTTACCGTCAGAGAGGACAAAATCTTGTGAGCAGGCTCTGTCCCCTCCGGGAAAAGATCCACCTCTCCCGTGCTTGCTGCATGTTTCACCTCTAGGGTTATTATTTTCAAAATAACATTTAGTATATTTAATCTGATTACATAAGCCAGGCATGTTCAGTGCAGAATATTTGGGAAACCCAGAAACGTATAAAGGAGGAGATTAAAAATTCCCCATCACCTCACCAGTCAGAGACAGCCTCTGTGACAGTGTTGGTATATAGCTTTCTCATCTATTCTTGAGTCCCGGGTATGCATCTAACCATAAAAAGTAACACCAGAGTCATAGTTTAGATAAATTTTTAAAAAATTTTTTGAGGCAAAACATATATAGTAAAAGGCCCAAATCTTAAGCTCAATATATTTCTACATATTGTTTGCACCCATGAAACCATCAAATCGAGATAGGGAATGTCTCCAGATTCCAGAAAACTCACGCCTGCCCTTTCTCGGTCAATAATAACACTCCACTTCTGAGATGTAGCCGGTATTCCGACTTCCAACCTTTCACATTAGATTTGCCTCTTCCTGAGTCCCCCAGAAATGGGTTCACCCAGTATTTACGCTCTTGTGTCCGGCTTGGCTCACCCAGCCGGCGGCATCCACCCCAGGGGCTGGCCCGCAAAGGCGCTCAGGGCTGGCACCTGAAATGTACGCTGGGGGCAGTGAAGTCGTTGCACCAGGGAGTGAACGCGTGAGCAAAGAGGCTTGGGTTATGGGGTGGTCTCCTGTGTGTTTTGGTCACCATCTGGTGGTCCGTGTGCAGAAGGGAGAGCAGTCAGGTGGCTGGAGGAATTATCCTGGTGGGATTCGATGAGCCTGAGCCAACGGGTGGCCATGGGGGCGGGCGGAGGGAGCCGGTTGTGCACGCTTGTCTGCCTGGCACTCACGAGGGCTGGGCCGGCGTCCTGTGAGCCGCAGACCGGGAGGTTTTGTAGAAAGCCCATGAGAGCGGCCACTCGGCAGGGCAGCGGCCTCACTGTCACAGCGTCCCAGGGCTCGGGGCGGAGCGCCCCCCGGGGCCAGCGCCCTGTGCTACTACTGCAGTTGGGAATCATGCGCAGCAGTGACTTGGGGTGAGGGCAGGGGGCCCCAGGTGTCCCTGAAGGGCCCGCCCCTGGAAAATCCAATCACTCGGCTCCCGAAGAAATGGGTGCCGTGGTCCTGCACCCCAAGAAAGAGATGTTTGCTCTCTAGGTCAGAATCACAGTGAGCTCCCAGCCAGTGTAGCTCATTTTATGATTCCAAGGCCTCAACATTAGAAAGGACCCATCTCCTGCCCCATCGGGGGGCTTGAAACCGCCCCCCCCTTTGACATTCTTTCCAACACAAGCTCAGCTCCCTTTGCCCTTCCCTGCAGTCGCCACTCCGGGCCTAGCCACCGTCCTGGCTCAGCTGCCCGTGCTGGCCGCCTCCTTCCTCCTTGGCTCCTGGGTCGTGCTGTCCGCTCTGCTCTGCAGCCAGGGGTCAGGAACTCTCCACGGCTGGGGCCTTGACGCGGTGGTGGGCCGCTCCAGGAGAAGGAGCAACATGAAACACTACTGCAGGGGGATGGCCCCATGGTCAGCAAGAGAGCTGCTGGGCCATGCGGGTGGCAGAGGGAATGTAGGAAGTCAATTTTCCATAAGCTCGTGAACTATTGGGGTAGAAGATTGTCATGTTGTAAACTTATAAACCCCAGACGAGCAGGCCTTGAACAAGCTGTTAGAATCAACAGTGTTGATGACTGAGAGTGTGCACAGGGCCTGATCTGGCACGGTTTGTCATGTTGTCCCAGAGAACGGCGACATTTCACATCAGCAGTATTTGGGGGTTCTCCTCAGCTGACTGGTGCTGTCCTAGGCTGGGTGATTCAGTGGTCAGGCTTGCTCGGCTGAGGGGGTGTGGGTCATGACAAGATATGTGTCCCCATCTGCCAGTTCAGATGGAGGGCCAAATCACAGGGTCAGTAATGCCTCCTGGCCAGAGGATGTGAGCTGAGCAGCTGTCCCTGCTGTACCAGCCAGGAGAGGTCCTCTTACCAAGGTGGCCAGGTCACCACGGGGAGCGTGAGTTCCCTGTGGCCAGAGGCGTGAGCCCCCGGTGGCAGGGCTATGGTTGGAGGGAAGCAGGGAGCCTGTTCTTGGCCCCCCACCCAGCGCTGAATCCAGGAAGCTGGAAAGGAGGCCCTTGGGCCAGGATGGAGGACAGCCTGCCACGCTTGGTGGCCAGAGGGGTGGGTTCTCGGTGCACATGGGGACAGCTGGGAGAAGAGACAGAACTGAGCGTGTGGCGGTTAAACAATTCCTAGATTGCAGAACATCGCTGAGCTTCATTTTCCTCATTTGTAGAATGAGTAAAATGAGATGAGGGGCGCAAATTCCCCATAAATGGAATGATTGTATATGAATCTAAGGCATTATTTGCCCCAGAAGTTTTTGCATTTAAATCAGCAACTGGGAGGAAGACACTGGATGCAGGCTTGTCAGATGGGTACAGAAAATAAAGCTGGGGAGAGTGGTTGGGACAGATAAGGGGGACCTTGAATGGCAGGATCGACGCTACCCTGGTTTCTCCCCGCTGAACGCCCTCTCCATGTGACCCTCGGAAAACCGGAAAACGCAGTTCCCCTAAAGGAGCCCCACGCTTCCTGATGTGGCCACTGCCTCTCTCTCGCTCAGGGTTTCCCAATCTCGGCACTCCGTCATTCTTTGTTGTGGGAGCTGCCCTGAGCATTGGAGGATGTTTAGCAGTATCTCTAGCCTTCACCCACTAGATGCCAGGACCACCACCCCTCTTCCTCCGTGACAGCCAAACACCCCTGGGGGACAAAGTCACCCCTGGTTGAAACCACTCCTTTGCACGTCTCCGCATACAACATAGGCGGCTCTGGTCACGCCGAAGTACACGCGGCTCCTTAAATAAAGCTTTTCCACATCCTTCCCACACCTTCACATACACAGATCCCTCCCTCCACCAGTCCTTCCCACTCCCGCCTTTGGAGCTTCGTAAAATCCAGCTCATCTTTGAGAACTCATCTTAAACATCCCTTCTTTGAGGACACCGTCCCTGAGGCTGCCGGGCAGCTCGTGGGCTCACAGCATACTTCTGGAGCCCTGGCTGCATGGATGTTCATTTTTTTTTTTTGCTTGCGATTGCCTCTCCCATTGGACTTTAAACTACTTGAGGGCAAATCCCGGATCTCGTTCCTCTTTGCTCCCCAGTGCCTGGTACACGGCCTGGCACAAGGTGGGACTCAGCAAATACCATTTCATGAATTGCTATTCGCTGGTCACAGGCTATAGAATGCTCCAGTCCAAATGAGAACAGTTTCTGGATCTTAATAAAGCAGAGTCTAGTGGTGCACCCTTAAGCAGCACAAGACAATCTATCTCATCTCTTATGCGGAGAAGAACCAACTTATTATTATTTTAATCTCCGGGATGCTAGAGAGGTTTGGGGGAGTTTCCTCCCGTGACTCTGCCCTAGAGAAAACACTGGCAAGGCTTTAGGAGGTAGCACTTTCTCTTTGAAAGATGCTGAGGATAGATAGCCAACCCCAGCCAAACTTTTCTCCTTGCTTCCCTCCAAAGCAGGGGACTCCACTTCATCTTTCTTAAATGCAGATTGGATCCCTCCTGTCCCAGAGCGAAGCCCCGCCCCGCGGCTCCCAGCACCCTGGGCTACGGGACTTTCTCCAGCTCTCCCCTCTGCATTGTCAAAACGGGAACAGACTGCGCAGAAGGAACGCGTTTGGTGCTGAGACCAGAGCCAGGGCAATAAGCAGCAGATCCAGACAATCTGCTCCGCTTCTCCCAAGGAGAGAGGAAAGGTTTTTATTCCTTGCTGACAACCAAGTCAGCGATAGGAAAATCTCTGAGTGACCAAAGCTCAGCAAAGCAAGAGACGCACACCCTACGTTGGTGCGCCTTGAAAATTAAAGAACCTCTGGCTCTAAATGGCCAGGCTTCAGTGTGTGTGTGTGTGCGTGCGTGCGTGCGTGTGTGCGTGTGTGTGTGTGTGTGTGTGTGTTGGAGGCGGGGGTGATGGTTGCGTACTAAAAGAAAAGTCCTGGACTCTCAGATATAAAAAGCCATCGAGTCCAACCTCCACCCAGGAGGGAACCATGTTGACGATCTGTCCTACCCAGCTTGGACACCTTCCATGACAGGGACCTCTCACGACCACAGCATATGTTAGCTACCTCTTTCTAATAGAAAGCTTTTGGTCACTCTGATGGCTTATCCTTTTGTTCTAAGTCCAATTCTTTGTTCCATTTGGAGTTGGTCCAGGGATTCTTCCCCAGGAAAGACTTTAGATTTTCACCCAAATCTATTCTTCTGGCGAAACAGACCCGGTTCTGTCAGCTGTCCTCCCCGTGGCACAGTTTTGTCGCCTCTCTTCCTGACCACCCTTTTCTGGTTACCACGATAGGTCACACACTACCCCAGTTTTCTGCAGTCCTCAGAGAGAGTTCTTTGGGATCACAAGTTTTCCAGAGGGCTGAGGAGGTCCTCCTTAGCAACAAACTTTTGAAAAGCATGACAGAAACATTTTGAGCCTACAGGGTACAGGTCCCTCTTAGAATGAGCACGGCCCTGCCGGCTCCCTCTCTGATGTTTCTCACCCCCTCTGACTTTGTCTTCTGCCACTTCTTCCCATTGCCTCCCTACTCCTCTTTGCACACCTGCTTGCAATAGGACTGGACATCCTGTGCTGTCTCTGGGAGTGCTAGGCTGAGAGAAGCAGCCTAGGAGGCAGATCCCACGGGGCTAGGAGAAGCAGTTCTGATGGGGGACGGGTGATGCC